CTGTTATGGTTGCTATGATCAGAACAGGTAAAGTAATGTAGAAACCTAGAAGCCACCGGTTCTTTGCAGATTTCCAAGGATCCCTTTCCATGATTAAATCTAAAAGCAAAAAGACATTAAAAATATCAGAGTAAAACAAACTGTCTACTTTTACTTTTAAGCTGCAGCAAAATAATTACAAAGTTCTGAATTTTTGTTGTTATTCAGTAACATGGAAAAATAATAGAATCATAATACTTTGGACTATCTCTATTACCTCTCATTCTAAAAGAATAGAAACCAAGATTCAGAACCAAGATGGCAGTGTAGGTAAACACCAGTATACGCCACCTCCCACAACCACATCAAATTACAACTAAAACACAGAACAACCATCATTCAGAACCACCTGATGGAAGTCATACAACTAGAGATTTAAAGACAAAAGTACATCAAGACTGGCTGGAAGGATAGAGATGCAGAACAGGCTGGTCCGACACCCATGTGTGGCATTTTTTTAATTGGGAGGGATTCCTTAGCTGTGGAGGAGGCCTCCTGGGAGGAGCAAGATGTCCCAACCCCACACCAGACCCACAGCCCAGGGTTCCAGAGGTGGAAAGAGAAGTCCCTGTGACTTGCGCTGTAAAAACCAGTGGGGATTGTGGCTGAATGGCACAACCAAGGAAGTGCCTCTTAAAGGGCAGGAACATGAACTTACATGGACTCCCTCCCTCCGAGCTCCAGCACTTGGGCAACAGCTCAGAAGGAGCCAGGAACATACAGGGAGGAACTGGATTATCTGCCATCAGAGCAAAAATTCACGGTGGCTTTCTCCAAGACAGGGGTGCTTACAGGGGCCATTGTTCCTGTGCTAAGACCTCTTCTGTCGCAGAGCTGATTGGCAGCCATATCTGGGTTTCCAACAGCCTGGCTCACACTGTTCATTCTGCCCTGGTAATTCCCTGAGGACCTGCCCCATCCAATTTTCAATTCCATCCAAGCTGTTTGCAGTGGCTTTTCCATATGAATGGCCTGTCCTGGCTCAGGCTTCAGATTTTCCTAAAATCTCTCAAGCAAGCAACATCTGGTATCAGCATACCACATACCTTTCAGTAAGAGGCCCAAGACAACTTGCCCTCACCTGGGCACTTCCGGACCCAACACAAGTGGTGACGATCTGCAGGTCCCTCTGTGGCTCCTTCCAGGTGGCCCCAGGTAGTGGCTGACTTTGCACCTCCTCGGAGGCCCCAGAGCCAGTGCACTTGGTGGACAGCTTCAGACCATACCAGATTACAACTTTATACACCCACAAGCAACACACTAAAGGGGCAGACCCAGTAAGTACCAAAGCCCCACTGAAGCAAGTCCTGTTACAGCAGCTCTTCCACTGTAGTCACAGCTGGTCCTCACAGCCTATTTGCCTGGAGGGCAGTTCCTCCCAGTGACATCAATAGCAATAAAGGCTTAACTACAACAAGACTATGCTCACAGCCCAAACAGGAGTGCACCTAGAGTGCCCAGATCAGGTAACTGGGGAGGCTGAGCCACTGGGCCCTACAGGACACCTACTACACAAGGCCACTCTATGAATTTCAGGAGACACTGCAGCTCTACTTAATACATAGAAACAAACACAGGGAAGCAGCAAAAATGCAGAGACAAAGAAACATGTCACAATGAAAGAACTGAAGAAATCTCCAGAAAAAGAACTAAATAAAGTGGAAGCAAGCAAACTACTAGTTACAGAATTCAAAACAAGGGACTTAATGAGAGCTTCAAGGGAATTAATGAGAGATTCAAGGGACTTAATAAGACTTTCAAGGATCTTGGTGAGAATGCCAAAGACATAAATATAGGACCAGTCAGAAATTAAGCATATACTCACTGAAATAAAGAATAATTTACAGCGATTCAACAGTAGAGTAGAGGATTATGAGAATCAAATCAATAATTTGGACTATGAGGAAGCAAAAAGCACCCAAACAGAAAAACAAAAAGAAAAAAGAATCCAAAAATATGAAGATACTGTAAGGAGCCTCTAGGACAACTTCAAGTATACCAACATTTGCATTATGGGGATGCCAGAAGGAGAATAAAGAGAGCAAGATACTGAAAACCTATTTGAATAAATAATGACAGAAAACTTCCCCTACCATGGTGAAAGAAATAGATTTACAAGTCAAGGAAACACAGAGAGTCCCAAACAAGATGAATCCTAACAGGCCCACACCAAGATACCTCATAATTTAAATGACAAAGGTTAGCCCTAGCTGGTTTGGCTCAAAGGATAGAATGTTGACCTGCAAACTGAAAGGTCCAGGGTTCGATTCTGGTCAAGGGCACATGCCTGGGTTGCGGGCTCAATCCCCAGTGTGCCCTCCCTCCCTCCCTTCATCCATCCCTCCCTCCCTCCTTCCCTCCCTTTCTCCCCCCTTCTTCTCTGAAATCAATAAAAATATATTAAAAAATAAAGTAAAACGAGAAAGGTTAAAGACAAAGAGAGAATTATAAAAACAGCAAGAGAAAAGCAGTTGGAGAAGAAGAGGAGGAGGAGGAGGAGGAATTAAAAACATGAATAAAATGGCAATAAATACATATTTATTAACAACTGAACCCAAAAATTAAAATAAATGAACAAGGAATCTAATGAACAAAATAAACTGAGTAATAAAATAGAAACATGGAACAGGCTGATGAATCTCAGAGGGAAGGGAGTGGGGCTCTGGGAAGAGATTAACCAAAGAACTATATGTACATTAGAGGCCCGATGCATGAAATTCATGCAAGAGTAGGCCTTCCTTTTCTCGACTGCCAGCACCGGCTTCCCTCTGGCACCTGGGACCCAGGCTTCCCTCTGGCTGCCAGATACTGTAAGGAGCCTCTAGGACAACTTCAAGTATACCAACATTTGCATTATGGGGATGCCAGAAGGAGAATAAAGAGAGCAAGATACTGAAAAGCTATTTGAATTAATAATAACAGAAAACTTCCCCTACCAGTGAAAGAAATAGATTTACAAGTCAAGGAAGCACAGAGAGTCCCAAACAAGAGGAATCCTAACAGGCCCACACCAAGATACCTCATAATTTAAATGACAAAGGTTAGCCCTAGCTGGTTTGGCTCAAAGGATAGAATGTTGACCTGCAAACTGAAAGGTCCAGGGTTCGATTCTGGTCAAGGGCACCCACAAGCAACACACTAAAGGGGCAGACCCAGTAAGTACCAAAGCCCCACTGAAGCAAGTCCTGTTACAGCAGCTCTTCCACTGTAGTCACAGCTGGTCCTGGGGCTCTGGGAAGAGATTAACCAAAGAACTATATGTACATTAGAGGCCCGATGCATGAAATTCATGCAAGAGTAGGCCTTCCTTTTCTCGACTGCCAGCACCGGCTTCCCTCTGGCACCTGGGACCCAGGCTTCCCTCTGGCTGCCAGCAGGCACTCGAGACCCAGGCTTTCCTCTCAACCCCGGCTTCGTCTGAAAGGATATCCAGTCTAATTAGCATATTATGCTTTTATTATTATTATAGATATGCATTACCTATGGACAATAGGGTGGTGAAGGCTTGAGATGAAATGGAAATCAGGTGGAGGGGGCAATGGGGTAAAAGGGGGGTGGCATCTGTAACAATATCAACAATCAAGATTTTTTTAAATGAATAAAAACCAAGTAAATGGAAACAAGCACATTACTGGATACAGAGTTCAAAACTATGGTTATAAAGTTACTCAAGGGTCTTCATGAGGCTTTGAAGGATCTTAGTGAGAATGTCAAAAACACAAAAAATGACAAAATAAAAATTAAGCATACACTAACAGAAATAAAGAATAATTTACAGCGATTCAACAGTAGAGTAGAGGATTATGAGAATCAAATCAATAATTTGGACTATGAGGAAGCAAAAAGCACCCAAACAGAAAAACAAAAAGAAAAAAGAATCCAAAAATATGAAGATACTGTAAGGAGCCTCTAGGACAACTTCAAGTATACCAACATTTGCATTATGGGGATGCCAGAAGGAGAATAAAGAGAGCAAGATACTGAAAAGCTATTTGAATTAATAATAACAGAAAACTTCCCCTACCAGTGAAAGAAATAGATTTACAAGTCAAGGAAGCACAGAGAGTCCCAAACAAGAGGAATCCTAACAGGCCCACACCAAGATACCTCATAATTTAAATGACAAAGGTTAGCCCTAGCTGGTTTGGCTCAAAGGATAGAATGTTGACCTGCAAACTGAAAGGTCCAGGGTTCGATTCTGGTCAAGGGCACATGCCTGGGTTGCGGGCTCAATCCCCAGCATGGGGTATGCAAGAGGCAGCTGATGAATTATTCTCTATCATCATTGATATTTCTCTCTTTCTCTCTCTCTCTCCCTGCCTCGCTGAAATCAGTAAAAACATTTTTTTAAAAAAGATGGGGTGTGGGCTCTGGATAAATGCGTCCCTTTTCCTGTGACCTCTCCTGCGTCCGGAGGGGTGCGGTCAGAGAAGGACCTCAGCAGACGCCCCTGAGGGCTGCTCCTCCCAGTGTGGGCATCACCTGGGAGCTGTGTAGAGCTGCTACTCTCAGCCACGCTCCAGATCAGCCACAATCAGCATCCTAGCGAGGTTTGGGATTTGTGTGCACACCCAAGTTAGGAAAGCACTGCTCTAACGCACAAAACCCAGGCCCAGGGTCCCTCTTGTCCAGGTTTGGGGGTACTAGCAGTAGGTATCAATAAGTATTTGCTCAATGAACGCCAAATGTCACCTGGGGCAGGGCTGATTAACCAAAGAACTATATGTACATTAGAGGCCCGATGCATGAAATTCATGCAAGAGTAGGCCTTCCTTTTCTCGACTGCCAGCACCGGCTTCCCTCTGGCACCTGGGACCCAGGCTTCCCTCTGGCTGCCAGCAGGCACTCGAGACCCAGGCTTTCCTCTCAACCCCGGCTTCGTCTGAAAGGATATCCAGTCTAATTAGCATATTATGCTTTTATTATTATTATAGATATGCATTACCTATGGACAATAGGGTGGTGAAGGCTTGAGATGAAATGGAAATCAGGTGGAGGGGGCAATGGGGTAAAAGGGGGGTGGCATCTGTAACAATATCAACAATCAAGATTTTTTTAAATGAATAGAAACCAAGTTCCAGAAAGTTGCAACGTATTCTATATTATACAGCAGCTACATAAAAATCCCACTATAACACCATTAAGTGGGGCCCAAAAACTTCAATAACACATAATGTGGTATGGTGTAATTGCAAGGTTATCCAATAAATATGCATTGTTACCAGGTGCGTTACCACTGAATCTCACTATATTTGTGCATTTCCTATTTTTCTTTATTAGACTGTTGACTTTTTGACATTAAGGATCTGTTTTTATATATGGAGCCATTGCTACTACAATGGCACTGGCATAAAAATCAGACTTGATTCCTAATCCTTATTCTACAACTAGTTAGCACTGGGTATGGTACCTGAAACATTATTTAAACTCCACGAGGAGAGGGACTTAATTTAACTTGCTGTACATCCCTTATGCCATATGACCAGCACCAAATATACATTAGTTCAATAAATATTTGCCAAATCAATGCATGAATAACGGAAACTAAAGTACTGGTGAACAAATACAACACTGTGCTAGCATCCCTCTGGGATCTCTACAGCAGCAAGTTGTTGGTTTTTCTCATTTAAACTGTAAACTTCTTCAGAGTAAAAATTATCTTCAATTTATTTTATTTCTTCTATAATAAACACATAGTAACAGAGTGTGTATAGCTGAGATCACAGAATCAATTATAAAGGAGGAAATATTGAAATATAGTCTTAAAGGAGGAAAGTCAATGATATCAATCGATAAAAATTTAAAAGATACTCTCAGCTTCAATCACGATATCTGAAAGTTAATATTAGAAAAAGAGAGCAAGATTAAGAAGGCATATTTGGTTTCCATTTCTTGAAAGAAGCCTGGTTACCTTTCAATTACAAATAGTCATTTCTTCCTAAGTGTCAAACATCTAATTTTGTTTTTGTCATGATAAGCTACTTGAGAATTTTATTAGCTGGATTTGTAAAGAGATAGATACTTGCCTGTTATTTCTCTGTCAGCTTGTCTGGACTGCGTATTGCAATCTTGACCGGTCCAGCCGCTGTCACAATGGCACTGCAACTCAGACGTGCACACCTAGGACCATTTTTTACATTTTAAATGATCATGTAAAAATATGCCCTCATAAAAGTAACATTACCAGATGGTTCATCAAGCTTACTTTTGTATTTTTATCTGGTGCAATTCTATTTATTTGATTTATTTAGAGAGACAAACCTATAAAACAAATGCTTGATTTCTTAGCCTAAATAGCATGCACACACACAGAGATACAGGCATACACATACACACATGGCATCTCAATAAAGCTATGAATTAAAGCTCTCAATATTTGCATCAAGAAAATTTAACATCGTAAAATGTTCACCTGAAATTTTAGTGTGCAATTTCAAAAACACATCCTTAAATTCCAATGAAAGATGTTTCCCGTGGTGTGCTAGAGGCCACCTGGCACTGAAGCATAGTAACCTACACCTTGTATAAAAACTGCTAGTTGCAATTCTCTGCTATTGTTAGATAGTCCCTTGTTCTGTAAACTCTGTCATTATAAACTCTTGTCACTTTTAGATAGTCTCTTATTCTGTAAAATGACTGTTTTTTAGTTTGAATAACAGAAAAAGATAAAAACTTAACTGTCTAACCTTGCAAGCTAGCCGTCTAACGTAATAGGTGAATACTGATAATTCCCATATTTGTTCATTATGTATCCAAGGTTACAAACTGTCTGCAAAAATAACTTACACAAAGCTCTTTGTAAAGTCTTCAGAAGGTCCAGAAAAAACATATTTGGGAGACAAAGAACTTGAAACGTATAAATAGCCCTAACCGGGTTGGCTCAGTGGATAGAGTGTCGGCCTGCGGAATCAAGGGTCCCAGGTTCAATTCTGGTCAAGGGCATGTACCTTGGTTGTGGGTACATCCCCAGTAGCAGGGTGCAGGAGGCAGCTGATCAATGTTTCTCTCTCATAGATGCTTCTGACTCTCTATCCCTCTCCCCTCCTCTCTGTGGAAAAATCAATAAAATATATTTTAAATAAATAGAGTTTCCTCCATGTTTTTGGTTCAGAATTTGCCAGAGATATTCTGCTCTGAACCAGCATAATAAAAAGACTCCTCATTGGCTTGTTAAGGCGTCTCGTATCTAGCTCGCTGATTTGCGATACAACAGTACCAGTTCCCAGAGCTGATTGTGCTGAATCTCCAAGATCAGGGTCATTGCCATGCGGTAACCTGAAGTATTTGCACTTACAAATGAGGACTTCACCCTTCCCCAGGGGTAGTTATTAAACTCTGCCTTAGCCATTATCAAATTTTGTTTGCCTTTGTTTGCATTTTAAGCAAAGGCTTTCTGTGTTACAAGAGGGACTCATATACCTAGATATAGCATAACATTAGAAACTGGTTGTTTGTTATTGATAATTATTGTATCACAGCCAAACACCTTTATGGTGCCTACTATGTGAGTCTCTATTCTGAGCACTTTATACAGATTTGCTCATTAAATCCTCACAACCACTCTTTGAGGTCAGAACTCATATTATTCCTACTTTACAGATTAAGAATCTGGGGCATATTTAACTTGCCAAAAGCCATCTGGATGGTAAGTGATAGAGCCAGGATTTAAACCCAAGCCGTGGGGTTTCAGAAGCCCTGCCCTTGACTACCGTGCTATGCTATTTCTCAAAACAATATAAAATATCACCCGGTTTCTAATATTTCAATTTAAGAACATGAAACTAATTTCACTGTTCCAAGGCTTAGATGTACAGGGAAAAAGTACTCTGTTCAAGTCCAATGCCCCAGCTTCTGTCATATAACCTTCATATTGGAAGGAAGGAAGGAAGGAAGGAAGGAAGGAAGGAAGGAAGGAAGGAAGGAAGGAAGGAAATTAGCCCTTTAATAAATAGTCAGTACTCCAGCAGGAAGACTGTCCATGAACTGCTATAAAAACTTAAATCAGGGATCCCTCCCCACCTGACCTGTGAGCACCCCAAATACCTCAAGTGCTAAACCCATAATTTTTCCCACTTTGTAGCCTACTCCTTCTCTGTACACCTCAGTTGAGCAGAAAGAGCAAGCTCAGTAGACAAGGATTTCCCTCAGAAAATCAAGCCAGGGTACTTGGGCAAGGAAGAAAGCACAAACTTGAGCTGTAGGAAAGAAACAGGCCCAGCCCTGATCTGCCCCAATTGGGGCTGGCCTGGCTGGACCCCACCTGTGCATGAATTTGTGCACTGGGCCTCTAGTCCTTATATAAGACAAAATAACTTTAATCCAAACAGTAAAAAGACAAAACAAAGGTCATTATATAACGATAAAGGGTCAACACTTTTAAAAGACATAACAATCATAATATACACACTGAACTCTGGAGCACCTAATGTATTAAGCAAATACTAACAGGTCTGAAAGAAGAAATTAAGAGCAATACAATAAAAGTGGGACATTTCAATACACCACTTTCAACAATAGTTATATAACCAGACAAAAAAATCACAAGGAAATGTGGTGATGAGACTAATTGAACTAGGTATGGAACTAAACCCAGATAAGGCCCCATGGATATGTGACTGAATCCAGTTAGGACCTCTGTATTAACTTCTAAAATTCTGGTGGGCTCGTGCAGAAAACTACTTCTCTTGTGGCTGCCCAAGACAAGCCTGTAAGTTTTCTTGGTGATTAAACCTGCCACCTACCAATTGGAATGGTCTGCCTTTTTCTTCAGTCTCTCCCTGCCTTCCACATAGGGGGCCCAGTTTCAGGTTATACACATAAAGCTCTGCAGGAGGTTGCAACCCAACACTAGCATGTAGTAGGAACCCAATAAATGTTGAATAAATTAATGAGTGATGCTGAAAAGTGCCCAAGATTAATGTGATTTGGGGAAACATATATTAATCACATGCTTACTTACTCCATGTCCACTGCACTTTGCTGAACAATTAAGGGACTCCTTTTTAAGAAACCTTGATTCTACACACTGACGATTTATACAAACCTAATGAAAAAAAATTCCCAAGTCAAAGAATTTCAGCTATCTTCACATTTTAATCATTAATTTTATAACATAAGATCATAACCATTCGCTGCAACAAATATCCATTTAAGTAGTTTTTGCTATACCCCACAAATTTTTGTTTCATTTTCATTTAATTCAAAATAATTTTCAATTTCTCTTGAGATTCCTCCTTTTAGAATGCGTTGCTTAATCTCCAAGTATTGTGAGATTTTTCAGGTAACTCCAATGTAAACCATACACTTTGGGTGATAGTGATATGTCAGTGTAGGTTCATCAAGTAACAAATGTACCAACAATGTTTTATAATATAGGATTTATAGTATCATTAAAGGTTACCTAGTAAAATTTGTTTTCAGACATTATCACTAAGAAAAAGTATCCATGTTATGGAAAAGATTCTATTCTTACTAAATTGCCAACTGAATAATATCAAATCATCTGTTGATATATTTTTTTTTCCTTTTAGAAACATAACTTTTTCTTTTTTAAAAATAATTTCACAAATCATTTTGTAGCTCTATTCTGCAAAGGGAATTATGATAACATTTTAATTCTTTAACTTATTTTTATTGTTGATACTCATTTTAATTCTTATTTTTATTGTTGACACTATTATAACTATCCCCATCCTCTGACCCAGCCGTGGGCAAACTATGGCCCGCGGGCCGGATCTGACCCATTTGAAATGAATAAAACTATTGAAAAAAAAGGCCGTACCCTTTTATGTAATGATGTTTACTTTGAATTTATATTAGTTCACACAAACATTCCATCTATGCTTTTGTTCCGGCCCTCTGGTCCAGTTTAAGAACCCATTGTGGCCGAGTCAAAATGTTTGCCCACCCCTGCGTCTAACCCCTTACCTCTGGCCATCACTACAAGCTGTTGTCTGAATCTATGGGTCATGCATTTATGTTCTTTGGCTAATCCCTTTACCTTCTTTCATCCAGTCCCCCTTCCCCCCTCTCACAGCTGTCAGTCTGTTCTATGTATCCATATCTCTGTTTCTATTTTGTTCACATAGATTCCACATATAAGTGAGATCATATGGTATGGGCACTTGGACTTTTTACAAATCTTATCTATTATAAACTGCACTTCTATGAACATAGAGGTGCATATATTCCCTCTGATTAGTGTTTCTGGCTTCTTAGGATATATTCCTAGAAGTGGGATCATCGAATCAAATGGTAGCTTCATTTTTAATTTTCTGAGTTGCAGAAGTATAATGATAAAATCTGGACTCCCTCCCCCCTTTATAGTCACAACCCCATTAGAACTTTCTATAAGTGCCCATCAGTGTATGAGTGGATAAAAAAGGTGATACATTTACATAATAGAATACTATGCAGCTGTAAAACAGAAGGAACTCTTACCTTTGCAACAGCATGGATGGACCTGGAGAGTATTATTCTAAGTGAAATAAGCCCGTCAGAGAAAGATGAATACCATGTGCTCTCACTTATATGTGGAATCTAATGAAAAAAATAAACTGACGAACAAAATAAAAGCAGAAGCATGGAGACTTAATTTTATTTTTACTTGTTTTGGCTCCATGGCCTAAATATATCTACTGAACCCCCAGGCATAGCCCTCCTTTGACGAGGCCATCATGACTCCTAGGCATGAAGAAGCAGCCGGCAAACATCTGGTCAGGAATAAAATAAAACTTTGCAGTAAATTTATTCCCTCTATGTTTTCTCCATATTTGTGTCAGCCTCAGAAATAATGACTTATAATAATAATAAATAATAATAGCCAACCTGTATTTAACTCTTACAATGTGTTGAACATTGAGCTAATCACTTTATACTATTATCTAATTTCATCTTCTCATTAACCCCACAGAGTAAAAGCTATTATTATCCCCACTTTACATATAATTGTGGTATCTCACACTGGTTAGGTGACTAGCAAAATGTCAAAACATAAGAGGTGAATAGTTGATTCTATGCAGTTTGAAAATTAACTTGTGATCTTATCTACTGGGCCACAAAGAGACACATATTACCCAGTTTTACTTTTATTACTTTTCTATATACTATGTTTTACAAGAAGAAAAGTGAATTTCCATGCTAGAGAGTACTTAACTACAATGTATTTCCAAGATCTCTTCCCTCCCTACTCTAGTCCTAAAATAGTTGGTAGTTTCCTTGTTCACAACATTGAAATTCTGAAAAGGATCCAACTGTTCCATTTCCCTCTTAATATCTGGAGCCTTACTGAAGCTTATTTTCTCTTTCTCTAAATATTTAAGTTTATATAGCACTACAAATGAATTTAAAATTTGATACTGAAAATATGTGTTAAAGAAATAAATTTAACTTTAAAAATAAATTTTAAATCACTTACTCTCTCAGAATCACATTCAGAGCCATCATTGACCACCAGTGGATCTACACTTGAGCCATGAAGACTGTAGTCTAAAGTTATACATATAACATTTCGTACATAAGCATAAAGCACAGCAACATTTTTTTGAATGTAAGGAGTTAGAGTAGGGTAGGTACAAATTAATCTTCCACATATAAGATTCCTACAAATATAATAAAATTATATTATTATTACATATTAGGCATTTATTGAAAATGCTTCAGATTTGCTTTATAAGAAAAAAATTTAAAAATACATGATTCATAATATATGGCAATATGTCTAGGGAAAATGTAATACTTTAACACTAACATTTAAAGTAAAAAGTATAAAGCTGCTGATACAAGATTATCTTCCAATACTACGTATGGTCTTTTATTCACTGTGCAGATTTATATCTTATTGTCAAATAATCAATTCATGCAAGCACTTTATAGGATCTAATGGTAAACAAATTATCACCTAATACTAAATGTGCTGTTTTGTTGAGTTGTTCACTTGAAACTTGAATGGTTTGGTGGACCAATTTCATCCCAATAAATTCAATTTTTAAAAAGGATAATTGTTTTTCTAAAAAAAAGTTCTACAAATGAAATAAACAAATTCTTACAGATATTTAAGATGAGGACACATTGTAATTTAGCAGTCAGGAAAACTTCAAAGAGAACAGGCCATCTGAGTCAAAGCTTACAAGTTAGTAGGATTTTAACAGAGTAAGGCATTTCTAAACAAAAGTAAAAGCATAAGCAAATCAAGGAAATATAAAACTACATGATATATTTACCTGCCTACAAATTCCATGAGCACAAGCGTCATGTGTCATTTTCTAACTAGTATCTAGTCCAGTGTCCAGCACATACGTTATTAATAAATGTTTATTAAAACAAATTCATGACCAATATGTCAAAGATCTGGCTCTTCAGATACAGGAAAAGATTAACTTTATTTTATTAATGTATCTCTACTGTTGAAATACAAATGTCCCCCTTTTTCCCCATTGAACCTTTCCACCTTGCACCCACATACCCTCCCACCCCCAAGGCCTTCACCGCACTACTGTCTAGATGTTCATGAGTTATATATATATATAT